ACTTCCCATCAGCTGCAGCCAACGGTGACACTTCACAAAGCGACAGGTCAAGACCAAGCAGCCGTGCCAGTCGAACCTCAGCCAGATCACGTTCCTCGAGTCCTGCCTTACAGAAACTAGAAGAACCCAAAAAAGCTTTGCCGATCCTCGTCACAACATCGATTGAGAATCAATCTGACAAAGAGGCAGCCAAGGAGGAACCGACTGTAGATGTCACCATTCCTCTGAATATTCTGAAGGTAACCACAATCTTTTCAGCTTTCTTTCCTATTAAATTTCATGTGATCTGGAAGTGTCATTGTTTCTGGTGGGCCGAGGTAGCTGGAGTGAGGACGCAGTGGGTGGAGAACACGTGCTCCTTTCCGACCAGGGCGTATCGCACATTAAAGGTCTTCAGCCCCACCTTCACCCTCGACGTCAGCCTTGAAAGGGGAAAAAAAGAAGAAATTGGGAGGAAACGAGAAAAAGAATAAAAAGGGGAAAATGCTCCGGATAAGAGCTAGACTTAAACTTGGGAAAATTTGGGAGATAGTAGGTAGGATGGAGAAGGTGAGATCGTAGAAGAGTAAAAAATTTCAAGGAGGGAAACTGGGTGGGGGGAGGTCGTACTTTGCAAATTCCTCCCCAACGGCGGACCTGTCCTGGCGTCGAGCGACTGGCTCTCTTCAATACTGCACCAGCGACGTCCAGGCGTTGTGTGGTTCCATGCAGGGGGTCATATTGAAGCACGTGGGAGGCAGAGGTTGGGATTGTCCTTCTCTTCCAGCGCGCTATACGTCCTACCTCCCTTCATTGCCGCGGTGCGTCAAAGTACTCTGTCATGACGGCAGTGGTGCCGCTCTCCTGAACACAAATATAGGGAAATTGATAAGGCGACATTTAATTGAGGGAGGGCGGAAGAGTGGGCAAGTAGTAGCGTGAGCGAGATAGGGTCTAGGACTGTGACCCGTCTCTTAGGGATGAACTGTACTGACACAAACACTTTTTCACCCACTCGGTGATGTACTGAACTAAGAATGGTAAGGAGTCGCAAACTTGGCGAAAAGGCTCAGACAAGCAGGTTTTGTCGCACTAAGCCTGCACACTCCTCCCCCCTCCCTCCCCAGCTACCTTAGCTCAATAGAATTACGGTAGCGAGTAAGTGGAGTTGCTGGAACAAACGAAGATTTGAAAATTCACCAAAAATTTTCCAGAGAAATCGTAGCAGATCGGTGAGCCCTGACCGAAAGTCGCATCATCATCGTCATTTGAAAGAGAACACTCCACAACTGCTAAGCGTTGGCTCGAAAAGTCCCCACCGTGAGTGTTCTGATGCAATTATTGGCTATTTCTTACCCCAGAGGTAATCCATTAGTGTCCGGGAGGCAGACTTGGCAAGTGATGAACTAGCGTTTTTCAAACCTTTTTCCCACTGAGAAATTATTTTCGTAGGAGAGTGAGACTGCTAGAGCAGCGAAAAAACAAGACGGAAGACCCCATCACAGCCATGTGGCACTCATTTGAAACAGTGTTGTCCTTTGTCCTCAATCGTAGACACTCCACCAGGCCTCTTCACTGAAATCTGTGGTTCCAGACTCCGCCCGGATGCGGCGCTCGGCCAGTCCGACAGCTGACCGTTCTCCCAGTGACAACGCCAGTTCCAATGGAGAAGATGAAGCCAGGAAAGGTGAGCCGTTCAGGTTCTCTCGATGAATTTTCAGTGATAAAAGAAGAAAACTTCTTGTTTAGCTCGTCGCAAGCGTCGCGACCCGACGCGAACTCTGGAAAATCTGAAAGAGAAGCTGGCCACTAAAAAGCAGGTAGGAGAAGGACAAAATGGAACCAAAAATGAAATGTCAGCATCAACAGGGTCCACAGCCAGCGATGATAGCGGGCCTGTTTCCGAGGTTGGCTTCGACCTTTCCAGGTTCCCACTGAAATTCACCAATATTGCGTTTTCAGATGGCGAATCGTCCTCGCCCTCCTCTGCTTCTTGTCACTGAACCGACCAATGATACGGATAAGGAGTGTCCGGACTTGTGGGAGGATTCTTCCGATGCTGACTGGACGGAGGCAGAGGACGAGGCTGATTGTAAGGAATTCAAATGGAAAGACATACGATTGCGTGGAAACTTACTGTCTTCTTCGCTGAGGATGCTTGGGCGGGACGGGGGGAGGAAGTGGAGGAGGGTCCGGCGCGGCACCAGTTGCTCTCTACCGGATAGTGAAGAGAGCAAGCTATTATACGACATTTGGTGAAACACCCGCTGGCGCCGCACCAGAATCTTCCCCCCCCCTCCGCCCGCGGCGCGCCGTTGCTGACACGGACACCCCAGCATCGGCAGCGTACAAGACCTTAGCTAGTTTAGAATAGAAACCTAAAGCTTTCAGATGAATCTGACGAGTATTCAATTTCTCAAACGTTCAGTCTTAAAGACTGTATGCCTATTGGTAAGTTTTTCGTCCATCTACACTTTCTCATTCACACTTCATTCCATCAGCATTATAAATCGGTGATGAGTATTGATTTAACGCGTGTCTGATCGATATCCATTTCCGACATGCTGTGCTGTTGAGTGTGAGTAGATCCCTGAGACAGCGTTCAGACTTCGCGAATGACTCTTACCACTGCAACTTTTATTCTGTTGTGAAGAGTACAAAATTCATAAAAGGGTAGGCGTTGCCTCCGTCCTATACACATTCTGGTATCGATCGGCACTGGCCGCCACTTTTTACAGAGATTGTAGAAGGATAGGAGGATGCCAGACTGTATGTGCCATTGGGGGGGGGGGGTCTCATACTCCTACTAATACTCCTACTCTCTCAGATAATAGCGGCCGGCGCCGATCGATGCCTGTTCTTCATAGCATTGGGCGCTGAGCAAACGGTAGCGCGCCGTAGCGCGTCGACGCACGCCATCGCGAAGTTCAACACTCGTAGACAAAATGCTCGCGCTCATAGGAGCTGTGAGCCTACCACTGTGTCCTCCTTATCAGCACGCCTTCTCTTTACCATATTGGTAGGGAGGACATAGGGGTAGGCCCAACTCCGCCCATACGATCATAATGGACTGAGCCCGCTAATGATTGCAATCCGATTTCTTCCAGGTGATCTTTATCCACTTTCTCGTTCATCTTCACGATGTTCCGTGTTCGTATCCGATTATGACAGCGATGCCAGTATGCCGTTGTTTATGCTTCCGTCGAGGTGTGGCAACGAGTGCAGGCGGCGAAAAGTCCATTACTAATCGTGTTCTTCAGTAGTTACTTGGTTATAACAGAAGCAATGCCCAGTTCTAACCCCTTTACTCATACGATGTCATTTGCAGGGCAGAGGAGTCTCGCGGTCGAGTTGATCGTCTGTTCGCAGTGCCACCTCCATCTTTCAGTTGTTCGATCACGTACGATGGCCAGGAGAGCTGGGACGATGAAAGCCTCCATTCATGCACGGATTTCGACGACGAGTATTGTGGTATGTGGACGCACCTCTAGTGCGGGCTTCAGGCATTCAGAACGGTACTAACTTCAAGAGCAAGATGATTTTTAGGAAGGCTCTCTAGATACAGTCGTGCTGAATCGTCAGCTCTAGGAGCGTATCTCAGTCCAAGCAGCTATACATCTGATGAGGTTTGACTTTTTGCTTACTTTTCACCTCACACTTTTTCGATGAAAGCCCTCATTGCTCAAAACTCCATAACTTCATGAGGTCCATATGGAATTAGATCCCATTTACGAGCAGCCTCTGCACTAAAGTCATCCTTGTGGCCTTGTCTGCCGTTCACATATCATTCTACTACGGCTATGCCACTATGGCTAGTGTAATGTAATGGGTAAGGCGAACTTAGCGCATGTGTAGCGCTGCGCTACAATGCAAGCGACGACGACGTTCTGTTGTAGTCTACTTCTTCCCTTCTAAGACAATAGTTCTTTGGTTTGCACTGCCCTGTCTCAGCCATGTGTTCGAAGTCTGAACAGGATCGTGACAGCCTACGAGTCTCTGTTCAAGGTCGAACTTTCATCTGAGAAGCGACCAGATTCGCTTCATTACAGTCTTCCATCAACCTGCGCTCTTCCTGTGGTGGAAGCCATAAAGGGTTGTTTGGTGTGGGGGAAGTTATCGTTGCTGTGGGTAGTGAGGGAGCATGCAATGAGGTGGCTCTATTCGTTTTCACTACGTTTCTTATACCCCTTACCCAAGCGTTTACGATGCGTAATAGGGCATAACTCGCATAACTGGCGCTGGTTTGTGGCATTCACAACTTCACATTGTCACAAACCTCCGCCATTCACTAGTGCCATGAACTTTACATCCTTTTGTCCTCCGTTGAAAATTCAATTTTGCTTTTCATCCACAAGCCTTCTGTTTCGCTTCTTCTCTACCGTTCATGTAGCGTGCATTTGAAAGAAGATTGTATGTTTAAAGAAACAGGCGTATACAGTACTCTCAAAAATTGTCGCGCGCCAATCAAATGTTGTCCGTCCCGTGAACAGCACCCGAATTGTGTTTTTTTTTTTTTCTTGTTCCGGGATGAAGCCGACGAAGGCGAGAGGCGACGCTAATACCGCTCTGCACGCACTAACCAGGTGCTGCCCAGGCAACCAAGTTGAAGCTGGTGCTCATCGATCTGATGCCTCCCACGCACGGAGGTCATTCTACGCGTACTTTAACAATAACTGTATCCGCCAGTTGTATCAAACATATATTTTGATGTAAGAAGTGGTGGTCGTACGTTATTATTTGCCACCAGGATAGCGCTTCCTGGGGCGTTTTTGTCGCTCAAAGAGAGTGATGTCCTAACCAAGAGCTTGGGCATTTTGGGTTCTTTTGTCACGGGAATCAGTCTGGGGTTCCAGCGCAACTCTACCCTGACGAGTGTTCCGATCCCAGCTTCAAGCTCGGTAACACTACAAGGTAGAACCGCATAATATTTTAATGGGCAGTATATGGCTGAATGGGGCGTCAGGGCGTCAGCTCATGCATGGTCGCTTGTGCTCAATTGCTCGCCTTTGCGGAATCGGTTGTTCTTGATTAACTTTTTTCCGGAAGAGAGTTTACGTCAGCTTTAGTACTGTATAGTTTGACAACTCAAACCCCGGCACAAACCTTCGAGGAGTTCAGCAAGCGAATGCGTGTCGAGCCAGCGGGAACTGCTCCTTATTGAAGACGCCTCTATAAAACTTGACTTGTAGTTGAATGCTGGCGGTCTTGGAGGAAACCATGTCTTCCTCTATCGATGCCTACATATTGAGTGCCTCGAAGATTCTGGCCGTCATCCTGAAAAAGGGCTTCCTGAATTCTGTAGTTTTGTAGTCTGACCAATTACCAGATGGGTACCATCAACGATACTAGCGAAATCGCATATCATAGGAATTTCCAGAAAAAATTGTCGAAAAACCGCTTTATTTGCGTGGACTTATGGGCTACTATATCATGGCTAAATTCTGCTGGATTTATACGTCACGCAGTTGGCTTGGGAAATCACAAATCCACTTTTCCGGAGTTTTCTTCGAAATTTCCGCACATTCCCCTACAGTCGCCGTGGAAATGCCCATGTAGTGGGGCAGAGTCTTCATGAGGAGTGCGCACGGGACGGCAGGCCGCCACGCCGTTGGGGTAAGCCTTTGCGATATACGCCCCACCCCCCTCCCCGTCAAAGCAATCTACTCTGATACGGCCTCCTCCTCTTTCCCATACGCCATCCTATCTAAATACTCCTATTTCCCCAGCTTCCTACCACTTTCTTCGAAACTTCTGCACCTTTCCCCAGAACTGTCATCGAGCGCGGATATATGTAATAGCTCACTTAGAAAAAGACAACTAGAAGTCATAAACCCGATAACATTTCTCCTGAAGGCAAATATGACCCCCCTTCTTCGCCTGCAAACACGATCCACATGTGGGGGGATTCCCATCGTACGACATCGCCTGCTGGAAACGGAAGGATAGTCAGAGGCATGTGCGGTGCGTCCCAGGGAATTCATTACATTTGAACCCTATGCGAAATCTACTCTCAATTGGGAGCAGGCTTTATTATGAGCGATCTGGCTTATGGCCAACTGCCCTCGAGTTATACGCCTCTATCCATCCCTGAATGTGTTGAACGAAGATTAGAAAAATTTGGTCGATGGTTTTGATTCGTTCGCAGTGGCTCCGCCTTATCCCTGCAGAGCTTCGCAGCACCCCCTTGGCATCTATCCAGCAACTTGCTTGAGGATGCTTTGGAAGAAATTTACAGATCTACGGCGGCTGTTTCAACGCAAGGTGAAGGATAGTAGGTCTAGAGTAGGTTTTGGGTTTCTTCTTCCATTTATTTTTCCATTTTATTTTAATTTTTATTCGAGCGTTTTATGATGGGAGTGATTTTAAGGATTACGATGGCACGCACTTCCACGACGAAGTTGACGTTGGCTGTACACTCCGGCTAGTGGACAAGGCTGCGATGCGTGGCGACAGCGATGAGGATGATTCCGATTATTACGAAGACGAAGAGGTCCTGCCACGAATCACTCATTGCTACCGTTTCTGTCCAATTGTTCCTATAATTTCAGTACAGTGACGAGGAATATTGGGACGAAGAGGAGGAGTATGATGAAGATGAACAAGAATACGAAGAGGAGGCAGAAGATGAAGATGAGGAAGAGTACGAAGAAGAGGAGGAAGAAGAGAGTTGCGAGGGAGAAGATGAGATGCATAGCATTGAGGAAAGCGCTGAAGAAGAAAGTGTAAGGGTACGTTTATATCAATCTCAAGAGCATGCAGATGCAGTCGTGCTGTAGACGCAGGGCGTGCCAAGGGGGTTGGTTTGGCGCGGCGCCAGCCCGTTCTCCATCAGTCCTTGAAGCGAGCAAGCGACAGCAAGTAGGTGGAAAAAGGGTTGGGCAAACACTGCTCCCCAACCCACTCAAGCGTCAAAGCGACTATATCGAGGTTTTATGTGCAACTGCAGAAAGGCGCTTAAAATTCGTCCTCTCATTCATTTCCTGCACTTGCTTTGAGAAAGTTGTAGTGCATTCTTATAACAGCTGAGAAAATTATGAAATGGTAGCCCGAGTAGTCTTTAGTCCGTTTTGAGGAATGGGCGCCCAGGTAGTTGAAGGGAATGAGTAGGGGGGAGGGGGTAGCGGCAAGCTTTATGGACCTGCTTGGCCTTTTCTGCCCGTTTGTGCCCTCCCACCTGGACAAGATCAACCCAGTTATTCTTTCATCGTCAGGCTCAACCTTAGGGATTGAAAACGAACAGATAGGGAAGGGGTCTATACCCGAAGAGACGCTGGATTCCAAGCGGAGAGAGAGACCTTGGGTCGCTGAAGGGAGGGATTCGTGCTTGGCTCGAAGGGAGGGATTCGTGCTTGGCCCGAGGAGATTGTTTTTCAATATCTAATTTTTCCTCTTCGACGCCGTGGGGAATTTTTTTGATAAATATCTTCTCGCGGTTTTTTTTTTCGCTTGTGCAGCCTCCCCCCCCCCCCTCGACGCGGCAGCAATTCTGGGGTAGAACTGAGAAACCCTCTGGAAAACGGGGAAAATTGGTAAAAAGTTGGGAAAACGTCTGAAGAGGAAGCATGGGAAAGGGACTCGTGCCAGAGGAGGAATTTTTAGAGGGGGACGGTTGCATTTTGCAAGTTTTCCCCCAGCTGTAGGAAGCGCTCTCGTTACCTACCGCGGCAAGAGTGAGCGTACACTGTAACATTCCTGAGGGCCTTCCGCTAGAGTGCGGCATGAAACTGCTCGCGACTAAGGCTTTCGTTCTGTAGTCCAAGTGTTTCTCCTGAACACAAGAAGGACTGAATGTTGTCGATCAATTTTTCGCGCAAACGGCATATCTTTTCGTGTTGCAATTTCAGCTACTTCTTTGTCTGCGCCCTCACCTACGCCAATCAAGCTGACCGAATACCGTACCAATGACTGGGAGCAGACGGGCAGTGAATGAACGCAACCAGATTGCTGGCGACTATACCACCCCCCCCCCTCCTCTCCCCTAGCAATCACCCATTGTTCTTGCTAGTCCAGCAGGAGGAGAGTTTGAAATCAGCTGTAAAACATAAAGTTCTGTGGTTCCAGGCTCCTATTCCACTCATAATTGTCCAGCCAGCAGATGTTGAAGAAGAATTTCTGGACGTTGAAGAGATGGAGATGGAGAATCGAATGAAGTTCAGGTTTTCTGGTTTGTAAACTAAATCGCGTTTACTTGTATATTCGCTCCAACTTCGCCAGTTTTTTTATAAAACGCTATAGTCTTGAAGTGTTTGAAGCAATGGCTTCGTAGGCTCAGATTTGCTTTTGTCGCGCTCGATTTCTGGAACAATGTGTAGAGAAAGCTTTCGCGTAAGGAGCCTGCAAAGTGAACTCTATTTTTCCTGAAGTCGTCGATTCCTCCGTAGGCCTTCAGAAACTGCCTTTAATAGCGCGAAAATTAGTGGGTCGCCGAGAATTGCCTGTTTCCATCACTTCTGCCATTCTGTCACCATCCAATTTTCTTTTCGCTTTGCCGAGAAGTTTCTCGTCTCCCTGGAAACGCGAACATCACTTAGTTGTTTCCATCTTTTGCAAAGAGCATCGACAAAACTAAATTTTGCTTTTTTGCTGTTTTTTTATTTTCTAAGAGGTGAAGGTGAGGTTACGGGTGGGCATTGTGGCAGTCTACATACTTAGTGATCCATGTTTTTGCTCGCCACGACGGGGGCGCGAGCTATAAAGGCGACTGGGCGAAAATAATGACTTGAAAACCCCTTCCTTCATGAGAAGCAGAGACTTCATTATTTTATGTCCACTGACTTAATTGAAATTACTTTACTTTATTGATTTCCAGCCCTGCTGCCCTTACTTGGACAGTGCACTGCTCTTGTCAACTTCTCTGTGAACAAGTAACATAGCAAAAAGCAAGTTAGATGTTGCATTGATATAAATAAGCTCAAAAAATGCCAAAAATATTTGCAACTTGTGAACTTGATGGGGTGTCTGTAGTGAGTCCAAATTGAAGCGTCGTGGCAAAATCCGTACTGCAGGTAGTACCATTTGCGCGACATTCGCACCGGTCATCGCCGCAAAATGGATTTCCCGCATGGCACTCGTTTTTAGGCGTGAACTATTGTTCTCAATGGACCACATAGGCGCCAGCGAAAACCAAGGATTAGGAGCGAATCAATCTTCTGAACGGTCCTGCAGGCCCCGAGTTCTGGAATATCCTTTTCCCTTTGAACCCAAAGGTACTTTCAATTGAGGCTCGCGATCCTACTTTGATGAGCTCTTTATGGTCGCTTCTGCAGCCTCAAGGACTCGCTCACTGATTCTCTCAAGGTAGAGTCCACGCTAATCGGTTGGGAGGAGCCCGGCCTGTTGGGCCTGTCGTTGTGCCTCCCTCGTTGATATGATATACCCCTTGTTTCATAGCTATAATGAGGAAGAGTGTAGCGTTCAGAAACACACGCGAATCGTCTCCGCTCATGAGCTCAACGTGAACAGGCCTTCATGTCGCACCCCTCCTGTTCCGACCGCTCATACCACATCTCTATTCGCCATTGCCTCATTAAACTCTGGTCGCAGCGAAAGAGTTAAATCACTTCTCGTTGGTGGCTCATTCAGCGGTTGTCATACCCATCAAAACGTTTTTATCCATAAGCGAGTCTGGAACCAATTAGCCGACTCCGGGGAGGGAAGGAAAACTTTCGGCGTCTTGGACGTTTCTAACCGGGATTCGATCCATCGACCTCGTACGCTCTGGTAAGCCGCCTGCCTTGTCTCCATTCTATCAACCTGCTCTTCTTACTGCTTGATACAAAAAGTGTGCGTCTTTGTAGGTCGAAGCAACGGTTGAACTTCCTGCACTTCCTAAAGTCGTCGAAAAACCCGAAGAAAAGCCCGAGGCTCATCGTGAGGTAGTGCAGATTTCTTATCATATCAGCTCATAGCCGTGAGGGTTATTCACGTGGTAAAAGCCGTTTACTTCAGATAACTATACGGAATAGATCTGCGTCCCTGATTTGACAGAAGAAGGAAAAGGCGAAACAGTTGCGTATCGAACAGAGATGGGCAACTGCGCAAAAGCCATTAAGAAGAGGGTGGTGAAAGACGGACATAGCGAGAAGGTACGATTCTTATCGGAGGGTCTGGTAGAGGCTTCCCTACGTAGGTTTGGCACGGCGCCAGCCTATTTCCATCAAGGGCTGCCAGCTCCATAGCGGTAACGACTGGTGGAAATGAGCTGGCGCAGCGCCAAATGTACGTACTCAGAAAAGCCCCCACATGACGACGCACTGATAGTGACTATCAGTTCAGTCATCAGGCTTACCTACCGTTTTCACTCCAGTTGACGTTGAGATCCACGGAATCCTTTTTATAGGCAGATGCAATCCTCGTGCCACAGCGTGTTGTACCGGCAGAAGAAACGGTAGCACTTGATGAGAGTACTGTGATTCCCGAAGAGGAAATCCTAGAACTGGAGCCACAACCTTGTGAAGAAGAGAAGGTAATCGATTCTTTTTCTGAATTCCCACGGCTGATTTACAATTTGCTCTCAGGGAACGCCTGAAGTGAACGTTGTGCCAACATATGTGCGTCCATTGACCGAGAAAGTTGTAGAGGTAAGCCGAAGCATTCACATATAGTAATAAAACCTCAAGATTGCTTGCTTTTCAGGAGTCGGCAAGTCGTTTCGCTGACAAAAAAGTTCCGACCGATTTCGCCCACAAACACGTCATTCAACCTCCTAAACTACAAACGGCTGCTGTACAAAAAGTTGAAACGAAGATTGCACCTGAGTACGTGAACAGACGCAATTCGGCAACGGGGAGGGGGGGCATTTCGCACTTCCATTGCTTTAGTAGTTACAAGTCTAACTCTGGTGAAACCTGTGAACTCTTGTGAAGCTGGAGCAAGCTCGTCGAGCCACCATGGTAAAACCTGTCAACTCTTGTAAGCTCATGACTAGCTCTCTAGATGGGTCGACCAGTCGATGGGAAGTAACAAAAAGGCAAATGCCCCCCCACCGACCCCGATTAGAGCCCGTGAATATCCTGACCCTGAATCAAAGTTCATTCATCAAGGTCCCAAAACGCTGGTAGATACTGAGCATTCTTACTTGGACCAGTGCACACAGGCGTTGGGGCCTCTCTGGCGAATAGAGTGGAACAGGAAGGGCGGGGGAAGGGGTCGTAATTGTTCTCTCTAAAGTCTTTCAGTTCGTTACTTTTTCCATATAAAATTTATACCTAGCGCCGGGGAGACGGACATGACAATCGTAACTTACCGCGCCATCGCGCGCGACGCGTCGAGCGGCGCGGCAGCTCGAGTGAGATGTCCCTTTAAGAGAGGGCGTGGTCGCACATTCACCTAGCGCCGCGGTAACTTCACTGTTTCTTCGATCGGA